TGCTGCGGGGCGCCATGAACTTGAGGGGGATTTCAAATGGATTAACCGTTTAACTCACTCTCCTAAAAACCAACCATGCTGGTTTTAGGAGAGTAGGGGGGCTCGTGATGGTGCCATGAACTCAAGACATGGCCCAGTTACATAGCCCGTAAACGGATTAGGGCTCTGGACAGGATTTGTATCGGATAAGGCTAAGCCCGAATGAGAATCAGGCCCATGATAGGAACCCACAGTCGGGCCGAATTGGATGGCAGACCTCGAACCTGGACGGAGTTCCAGTGGGGCTAGGATATTCCTAAGGTTTGCGTGGCAAGTTATTATTTAAGCACAGCTATTCAACAGCATGTAGGACTCAGCGAGAGACGTAAGCTCGAAGAAGATAGTCATTAAATAACGATCAAGAGGCCACAGGAGTTCTATTCAAAATAATATATGTTTCGTAATTAATAACATTGAATGTAGTAGGTTCCTTCTAGGAGACCAGTTCTTGTAACCTATAAACAATTCCTGTAATTCTCCCAGGAGGGGGTGGAAAATCATTCTCTCGAATAAGAACCACACTCCTTTACGCCATTATATTTCAATATCTCGTTGAATTTAGCTCTCATAGTTGGATTAAACTCCATCAATTTCTATTTAGATTAATTACTTGATTTTTTAATATTTGAAGGGAAATTGTTGCGGTAAGTGCAAATGTCGAAATTTCGTAGCTGAAGTAGATGAATAAAAGAAAACAATATAGGACACTATTAGACCACTAAATATATACAGAGTAACATTCATTGATCAAATCTATTATAATCTAAAAGCAAAATGTTTTTGCTAAGAAACTCCCGCTCAAAAACATCCCATCAGATGAGTCACCATGTTATATTGGGTATGCTTCGAAGTGTTTTGGGTTAGGATTCGCAGGTCACTATTACAATTTTTCAATTTTTACGCCAATATTACCATTTTCAATTCCTATTGGATATCAAAACGGTGGTACAGTGTTGTAAGGCTAACAGCATTACAAGGAGTCAAAAAGCTAATTGAAAGTTATTGACTCTCATGAATGCTGCAACCCAAGAAAAAATCCGTATATGAAGGTCTGGTAATGGGATACATAAGACCTTGGATGATAGCTATTCACCCTCTATTCACTCAAAAAGTAAATGAAAAAAATGAGCACATGGGCTAGATGCGATGCACGCAGGAGAAATGACCAACATGAGACCCATGTGAGATTAATATATATATATATATATATATATATATATATATATATATATATATATATATATATATATTTAAAGTGTTATAACTTTTTTTATTTATACTCTAATTTGTATAAAAAATATATCAAAGTTCATATTTTTTTTATAATCTTTCATATGACATCAATATTGAATATGTAAAATTAAAAAAAAAGATTCATCTGCTGGAGATTTATAGATCTAACATTTTTCTCAAATCAATTCAAATGTTAAAATTAAGACTTCATTGTTAAAATATGTTTTTACATCTCTCAATTACTAATTTTCAAAAATAAATCTCATTGTTAAAAATTTCACTCCAAATTTATTTATTTTTACATCGGAATGTTTGATATTTAAAATCATAATTATTTGCAAAAATAGAACTTGCGAAAAAAGTTATGTATAATAATAAAAGTAAGGTTTAACTAAAAAAGAATGTGTTGAGTGAATATATTGACGGTGCTGGGTTGCAGGGAAAAACTAGATTGACTGAGTGAATACGTATAAATTGATGTTAGATTAGATTTATTGACGGACTGGGTTGCGGTTAGCCTAAGGATGGGCTGAATGGTGTGTCACAGTCAAGTGTACAGTCTCCTTGAATTCTGTGAAGTTTTTGGATAAAAGTTCCGGCTCAAAAACATCAGCAGAATGTGGTCAACTTCATTTACTAAATTAAAATATATTAATATAAATAATGTTGAAAATATTTCACAATTGATATTGACTACATTCATCTGAATCCATTATTGGGGTGGAGTTCCCGCTCGTTTCTGTCTTCCATCAATGAGCCCACAAGAGGTGGGTTTCACGATGTATCTATAGTAGTGTCAATTAAGTTGTGTGTGAGAACTTCGAAATTGTAATTGGTTTGGTAATCTGCCCATGCTTTCAAGTTGATGGTCCATGCCTCTTGATTAGTCACATCTGCTGAGGTGGTTCCATTCTCAACCTATAACGGCAAATTCAATGTATCACTTGGAAAGGTTGAGGGTTAGAAATTGGCTATAAATACAGAGTTCCATTCCAAGTTACTCAGCTATGAAAATGGTGGGGATGTAGTCTATTTCACGTTAGTCAAACAACACAAAGAATGCATGGGAGATGAAAGCTAGAGCTGTTAATTGTCAAGGTGGGGATGCAGTCTCTTATACGCTTCATGAGCTGTTAATTGTCAAGGTGGGGATGCGGTCTCTTATAAGCTTCATGATACTCCGTATATGTTAAACCGCTAGGCATTCTTTTCAATAATGAAGAGTTTTATAAATTCTTTGTATTTGGTGTGTTGATTTAATCTAACATTCATTCACTTATTTATAGATTACTCCATATGAATTTTTCCCCATGTCTTAACCATTGTTTTTGTTGGGCACAGAGAACTAAGATTACTGTACATGCATTTCACCAAAAAAAACTGGAAGATTATTTGTTCGTGGAAGGCCATGTACGTGTTTTCAAGAACTTCCTGATGGAAGAAAAATACATGCACTTTAAGACTACAACAAATGTTTTCAGTTGTTCATCAACAAAACTGAATATTTTCAGATGTTTTAACATATGATTTCAATAACATCATTGATCTATTAAGTTACTAACACAAGAGATAATTGATGAGACAATGAGCATGTATTGATGGACTTAATCTTTAAAATAATTGTAACAATATTTTCTTTTTAAAAATAATGGAGTAATATTTACACACCTTAAAGTAAAGAAAAGACTTTTAAATGTGTTAAATAAAAAAAGTATAACCAAATATTCAAATAAAAACATACTCCGTAGAAAATAAAAAAATCAATTAAATACATTCCTGGGAGCATTTTCGTCAATCTTCATAATCAGGCTTTTTCTAACACATTAAGCTCAAATTATTTTAACAGAAAAATTAGTAATCACTTAAAATTCAACATGTTAACAATTATGAACTAATCAACACGCAGATGGGCTGATGCAGGACTCAAAATCAAATCATGTAGAAAGAAATCAAAGAAAGGAGACTTAGCTTCAAACGTCACAAATCGGGTGGCCAACCAACAATATGCTGAGACAGAACTCCGGTTGAAGACCCCTCAATCAGCAACAGTCGTGCGAGACCCAGTCCAATGATGATCCTACAAGCAACATCCAACACTCAACAAAACACAGAAACTTGAGAACTCAAAGTAAATCAAACTCACACGGAGTCACCTTTGCGAAATCCCAGGCCTCAAGGAACAAAAAGAAGGCATCAAGGAACAAAAAGAATACCAGTGAACCACCTCAGCGAACAACTCAGACATGCGCAACGACAGGAACCTCCAAATCATCACGGCTATAGAAATCGGTGAGCAAGAACAGACAGAAGCACGGATCGGTTTAACTCTCTTACGAACCGACGAAGAAAGCGTCATCCCATTCTAGGAGGCAGAGGTTGAATCGCGAATCTTCGACACACAGCTCTCAACCCTCTCCCCTTCTCTCTCTCGAACAACGGGAATGATAGTAGACCAATATTCCTTCCGGTTTTGCCAAACGTTCACCCACGATGCATTAAAAGAAATAAACCAGACGATATGTTTTTCAATATGTGAGATCTATCAGTTGTGAATCGTGTGGCGAATATATAATCCCGATTACCCCCCCCCTCCCCAAAAAAAAAAAAAATAAACTATTTCAATACCATAATGCCCCCGTGCTTTGCAAGTTTACAAAGGCAATTCTTTTTAAAAATGCAATTCTTATAAATAATAGTCAGCGTATTAGTTCAAGATTGTTGTCTATAAAAAAGTGTCCCATAACATTTAGCAACAAGTCTAATGTGTTTTCAGTTTTTATTTATACTTTTGTGTATACTCTGGAAAGCATCTTCCCAGAGTATGTTGCATCTACACATGACATTAGTTGTTTGCGTGACTGTGGCATATTAGCGCCAACCATAGCTGTGATTATATGTTTGGGTCTCAACGTTGACGAGGTTTCCAAGACGTATCTTAGTTCTGACAGCGTGTCAAAGGTGGATTCTACTACACATCTAATGGCAGAACTGCACACTCTGGTATTCCTAAACAACATTAAATTGTCTGGTGTACTGAATCACAAGTTAACATTAAAGGTTGGGACCTCGGTCATGCTTCTGAGAAATATAGACCATTCAATGGAGTTGTGTAACGGAACTCGCCTCATTCTAACCTTCCTGTGTGATGATGTTTTGGAGGGGAAGATTTTGACTGGTGGAAGTGCTGCACAGAAAATTTTGATTCCTAGATTGTCCTTGACACCCTCGGATGCGAACTTGCCTTTTAGATTTAAGAGGCGACAGTATCCAAGTATGATTTCATATGCTATGACTATAAATAAAAGTCAAGGGCAATCGTTGTCCCGTGTGGGGTTGTTGTTAAAGAAACCCGTGTTTACGCATGTATAGCTGTATATTGCTGTATCAAGAGTGACCAATAGGCGTGGTTTGAAAATACTTATGTGCAATGAGAGTGGTACAACGTCTAACAACCCTAAAAATGTTGTTTATAACGAAGTGTTCAATAATGTCTAACGTTGTATTGAATTCTGTTTTTAACGGAATAGTGAGTTCCATTGCGCATTTATTTATGTATTGTTTCGTATTATGTTTCGATGTGTAAGATTTAATAAATTGCGTATTTTGTACGTTCTTAGAAACACTAATCCAAAACACTAGTAGTTTTCAAAGAACGCAGCTAGGACATAGATTTGAATGGCAACTATAGTTTTTTGGGAGCCGTGGGCTAACTAGGACCAAAAATAAGTTTCCAAAGCAAAGGTTTTTGACTTGCAGTCAACCAAAACACTATTTACAAATTCCGTTTGTTGAGCAAAAGATTATATTTAGAAAACATGCCGTAAGCAAAATAGGGACATTTGAGTTTGTCAGCAAAACCAAGAAGGCATTAAATAAGTGGGAAACCAGAAGGGGTAGAAAAAGGTATGCCATAGGCACCAAGTCAGCAGAAGAACATTGAACTCTTAACATTGCCATGCAACACTGGTAGTTGAGGGACTGGAACTGCACCAGGTGTGCCTACTCCCCCGTGACTGGAGGAAGTGTCGGAGAAATCGTCGAACTTGATGAACTGCCCAGCCTGTGCAGCAGCCAAGTGCGCATAACATATCGGCGCAACTGCATTTACCAACACAACAAAGGGTTTCAAAAATGTTAAGCATAACCTCAAAGTTCATAAATTTATTGTTTATCAAAACCAGAAGTTTTGTGGGACATAAATATGATACATTTATCAAATATGATCATTCACTTCTTAAATACGTAGTAAGATATATTAGCTACTTCAGCTAATTTTTAGCAGAAAACAGGAAAATGTAAAAAAGGCAAACTATAAAGTAGGCAGTGGTTCTCTACCAACAGAAATGGCTGTTGTACTCCGCTGGTACCTGCATGATTTAAATTGTTTTATTACATAAAATGCAAAATTAATTTTATAATACTTAGAAAGGGGAGTAGAAAGTCACGGGAATAAAAATCAGTGGTTTGCTTACACATAAGATAATGAATGGACAAGCTCTTGCAGTGTATCAGGAGAAAAGCCAATCTCATCATGTAGAATATGATAATGAGTAGGCCTTGTGGTTCCCTGTTTAGCACAATTAATAGATTAATGATGAATTTTTATTCAACTCTTAAATCTTGCAAAAGGAAAAAAAATGAATTTGAGGACTCACAATCATTCCAGCATGAGCACACATATAGAAGTCATTGTTCTTGGGGTGACATATTCCATTATCAATAACAGTTCCTGCAGGAAGATGCAGCATTGTTAAAGCAATCAGTTGAACCTGTTTGCATAACCACCCACTGCTCCAAGTATTATAATGGGTTTTAGAACAATAATGGGGTGAATAATTACAAACCAGGGGGGACATTGTCAGGGGAATTCTTTTGGAAGAATTTGGTATTGTGATTCTTCTGCGCAATGATTACTGTGAACTTAGGAGACCAGCTTTCATCTAGCAATTTACAAGCCTGCATATTTTATATATAAGAAGTTAGAGATTTAAAATGCTGCAGCATAGATGTTATGTTGCTATTTAATTACTAGAAAGGAATCACCTCAATGATCTGTTCAAGTTCAATATTCAAAACTTGGTTGAACTGGGACTCACTCACTCCATCCCTACACAATTAAATAAAGAAAACAAACTTGAAGATGTTTGTTTTGCAAAGTGCATCCTTTTCAAGAGTCCAGATGAAATAATGATATGCTATTTACCTAAATATTATAATTTGGTCTGGTTTTCTTTGCTGAGTACTAGAGTAGAAGTCTACCAGAAGTTCCCTGAAAGTATAGAGGGATGACAACACTTTTAACCTAAAAAATTAAGTGAGATTATACAAGGAAGCAGTCTTAAGGAGAATGACAACTAAAAACCTGAACATGCCCTCATCTTTTTCTGAGTCAGAGACTCTTTTGTAAAGAGAATCTATCATTTCTAGCTTGGGTGACTGAGTACGGACAGAAGCTCGATAGCGAGAGATACATGGCCAACCTCTAGAACTCACCACCTAATAAAAATAATAATAGTTTGAAAAAAACACGCCATTGAAAAAATCTGAAGAAGTAACTATAAAAGATATGGAGTAGTTTGTAATAAAACATTGGAGAGCATGCTATGATGATACCGCTGCAATTGAGGGCACATCTGCACGCCCTGGGGATCCATGAGACACGTCCATTCCAACAATGATTGTGGGTACAGTAGATACCAAAGGGATGGTCAAAAAATGCTCGTCTGCCAACAAGGAATTCATTCCTCCAAGCTGCACCAAGAGTAATAACAGGGAAACATCTGTGAGTAAAATATACTTCGTAGGATTTATTTTAAATACTTGATATATAAAAAAAGTACTATCGTATTCTTTAGTGATAAAGAATACCTTGGCGTTGATTTTGAGAAGAACATTTGTGAGATATTGGTCATTCACCCTTGTAGGTGCAATGCACTGAGTCACAACTCCAAGTTCTGAAAGATTCATCTTCTTCCATGGTCCTTCATAATGTAGGGAATTACTTCATTAGCTTGCCCTGCTATATACTTGTATGACATGAAGTTTCACATACACAAACACATACCATGATACTTACCATAGATATCACAATTTTTTCTTTCAGATAGAATACAAAGAATAAAATCTGGTTTGCCGGGAAGTCTTGATTTCAATAACTTTCCCATCTTTTCCACTCTCACTGGGGCAGGAGCGCGTCTAAATTGTTGTTCTTCATCAAATACATCAAAAGGAGGGTTGATCATCTACATTCAAATCAACAAGGTATAAACTCGTAGTATTAAGTAAATAGTTACACCATTTTTTATACTAGTAAATTAATGGTTCTTAGCTCGAATTGAAGTACTCACAATTCCCTTCATTTGTCCACAGTTTTGTAGATCTCTACAAAGTTTGCGCACATCACAGCGAGCAGAGAAGTTCACAACAGCCCATTTCTCAATTTTAACGGGTTGAACCAATTTCTAGGATGGTGATAACTTGGAAGGGTTAACAATGACTTAAATAATTTTGAGATGTACATCTCAAGAAGTTGAGATATAATGTATTTCAAATATGCTTTTTACCTTTTGATTGAAATTCCACCTTCCGTTACGTGGAAAGAACCCCTCTTTATTACCATAAAGCAACTGAAAACATACAAGATGGTTGGATTCAGTTGGCAATTTCTTATAAATGAGACACAGAATAGTTGTGGAACCTAAAAGATTGGATGATATTATATTCAAGAACTTTTAAAGCCATGACAATGACCTTTGGAGGTTGCAAAACACGGCCTTGGACTTCCGTGAATTGATTATAGATTACAATTCCACAAGACTTAAGGAGAGGATCACTATTGTAATCGCTACGGCCCAGTGCCTGAAAAAGATTATGATGACTAGTTCAATATACTTATAAGCAGTGATAAAAGGCATCATAAGCAGCATTTAATTTAAAAAGATAGCCTGCCCTTACATCTTTCAAGACATTCATGCGCTCTGGAGGCTTTTGTCGAGATTTTTCTACAAGAGAAGCCCTTTGAAGATTGGAGAGTGACTTAGTATACCGTTGCAGAGAAACCAGGGAGCAAAGCTTTAATAAAAGCAGCAAAAACGACAAATAAATAAATAAATGGTTATGAATGATTGACCAGTGGCATTCTATTTACACAGAGATAGGAATACCAGCTTTGTAACATACTTGTATATATTCTGTACCTCAATGGGAATGAAAGTTGGCCTTTTAGGCTTCCCAACATTGATGCATGGAAAGTTTCCAGAATATTGCAAGTGTATAGATCGGTGATTGACAAAATAGTCATAAACAGTCATCTCAACAGGACTTTCATCACCGTCATCCTTCCTTCCAATATTTCTCTTCAACGTAAACCTGAAAAGATTTTATTCCAAACAATAAAAACAAACAAATGATGGAGTGGATTATTATGCCAAAATGTTAAAGAAACTATTTTGTAATTGTAGCAGCTTACATTTGCTCTGAACAAGTCTTATCACTAAAGCCAGTTATTTTGTGTTCCCTATTTGAGGGTTTAACTGTGACCCTGAGGCTCTTCAGCGCCTTCTTAGCCTGTGTAGCCAAGCAAACACCAAACAACAGTTGAAAACCTTTAGGATACAATACAAAGCAAAATTTTTATTGGCCCATATATATTTGTATAGGTACTCTGTGTAAGATATATCATAGATAGTTACCCTTGACCAATCAATATCGCGAGGATGTTTGACATTTTGGTTTTCTAGCAAGAAATCAATTACTGGCCCAGGTTTGACAGTCATGGTAGTGGTTACATCTGAAAAGAACCTAAAAGTTATGGGCATGCATTTCAAAAGAAAAAAAAAACACAAAAGAGAAAAGGCAAAAAATGGAGAATATATATGAGACAGTTACCAATGTTCAATGATAGGCCTCCCTGTGTGGCACGGAAACTTGAATGAAACCCACGGCACCCAGCAACTCCACCGCCAAGGTCAACAAAGTTCTTTGGTTCATTATGGAAAAAAGATTGCCGCACAAGAAGGCAGCCCCTACAAGCAAACAATAACGAATAAGCAAGAAAACAACCAAATCCAAATAATGAAAAGAAAATGCTACAAACAGGAAGAAAACCCGAGCGGCCGAGCCAATGTTCAATAATAGGAAGGAAAAACGATGATGTATTAAAAGAGGAATAAACTACAGTCTTGGCTTTGTTGAACAAAAACATGCATTTGTTGTGCCTCTTCAAATCGAGCAGGAAGTAAAAGCGATACGTGAGAATGTAGTGCAATTGACTTTGTTCAATAAACGAAATGCAGGACTTCAGCAGCCACAAATAAAGCCATTTCTTTTTTGTTTGGGGGATCACAATCCTTACTGTTTAGCAGCCTGCTGCCGAAGTATGATGTCCAACACTCTGACAGCCTCTTGGAAGTTTTCAGACTCCTTTCCCCGAAGAGCATCAGCAATGGCTTGCATTGGGATTCTAGTTGCATAGCTTATCGCCACATTGTACGTCTTGGACCTTGGCTGCCTCTTTGATCTCTTCCTGTCTTTATCATTTGGGCTACCACCTTCGGGGCTACCAGCTCCACCATTAGTGTTTCTATTCAAGACAGGGAAAAAATTAATTGTTCAGTAAAAACACGCTGACAAATCTTAACCACTATTCACACATTAATGCATAATAAAATAAATCAATGAATAATTGAATACCTGTTAGACATTATATCATCCAGCACAACTGTAAATTCTAACTTGTTTCCTGGTAATGCACCAAGAGTGAACAATGTCTTATCACCATCATAGGCCAGATGCTTTCCCGCGAGCTCTGAACCATATGTTTCATAGACTTGATCTATAACTCTCCTCCCAACACCCTTTGCATCAACTGCATTTCCATCCTCATATGTTAGGGAAACCTGAAATGGACAAGTCCAGAAACACTTTAAATTATACGTAGTATAATTCTTGGATTCAATTTCTACATATCATCGGCTAGAGATGGATTATTTCAATGTAAACAAATGTTAATTAGCAGTGGAGGTATACATGACAGATAAAAAATGACAAAAAAACGAATAAGCTTACGCTGTACTGGAAGAAGCATCCATCATTGTTCGACAGGCCTACTCTGAAGTGATTTGTGAGAAGCTGAATCTTTGCGCCATTAGTAGCAAACCCACGGCGTTCCATTGGGGCACGTTTGGCGACTGCAAGTGTTTTTGGAGTAAAATTCGTGGGCGAAGGAGGTGGTGGGGGCAGTTGAGGCTCTGAAGTTTCCATTTCTTGTATTGTCTGCAAAAAGCAAACCAAACAGATAGAAACCAAGCTTTGAGCTTTGAGATTTTGTCATCTTTGAAATGAACTAGTAATGTGGAATGAATCCTTTGTATTTCCAGTTAGAATTTGCATCCAGCTTTTTCCCAAAACATATGGAAGGAAGGTTAGAATCAGGCTGTAAATTTGTTTTAAACTTGCACCATAATGCCAATTTTATCAGGGATTTTTCCCAAAAACGAATTACGTACTTTTATTTATTTTCAATTGAATTGCTTTAGAATAATTTTTTGTTATGCATGGGAAATAAATTTTAATGTAATACTCCGTAATTAAGTTTTTTTACGGAAGTACTCCGTAATTAAGTTACTAAAATATATACTGCATATTTTTAACAATTACGTACTCCGTAGGGTAGTATTTAAAAAAACACAAACAAATAAGAACTGTAGGAGGATACTATGATACTGTTATTAATATTTTAGAGTATTTTATATAATGTCATTTATAGATTATGAAAAACGAGCAAAAAAAGAAACCCATTTCTTTAAAGTAACTCAAAAGTATACAGTATAAATTAAACGAATGTCTAGACTCCACGGTCAAAGAGGTAAAAATTAAATTGCTTAGAGATGAAGAGGCGGGAATGATCAAAGAGGGTTAACCTACAAAAAAAATGGAAAAATTAAATTCTCAAAATAAGAATAAAAATGTTTAAAATTTCACCAAATAAAAATAATTACGCTTTTTGAAGAATAAAGACAAAATAATCTTATTTTTAAATATGCAAACATTTTAGTACAGGACAATTTTTCAAAAATAAAATGTATTGCTCCGTATAATTAATAGATAGTAATAAGGTAAAGAAAAATACGGAGTAATTCATAGTATTTGAGGTTAATGATCCCTACACAGTTAATTTTCATAACAAAAAAATATAATAAAGAACCAAAAAACGAGGAACGAAAACTTTGCGTATATATTTGGTTGTATTATTCGGCCAGTGGATGACCTTTCAAATTCCTTTTTCCCAAAAAACAAACCGCAGCTCTTGAATAAACACACAAAAATGGAGTAGTTAATAAACCATTTCTTCGTTTACCCAAGAAGACAAAAATATTACGCTAAAGAAACCCCATATTACAGATGCATAAAAGGAATACAGACTGAGAAGAAAAGGACCCTTCATATATATATATACACCCAAACACTTCCTAATACCCGACGGGTAAAAAGATTAATTACCCGGCCATACATAATAACCCTGTACATACATATACATACACTATGTGATAAATAGTACCAAAAGAGGAAAAAGACTTCATCTTGTTGTGACCCAAAAGCCATCATTTTACCCAAAGAAGAAAAACCCACATATTCCGCATATATACATACACAGCTTTTGTCACTACAGTATATTTTTATATATGTATCTATATACCAATATACAATAAACCCAAACACCGTATACACATATATGACACAAAATATTTGAAATAAAAAGCACATATAAGGACTTAGGAGTATATAATAAACATACATTATGTGTTTATGTTCATGTAGTATGAAAACCAATTCAATAACAGGGAAAAAAGAAGATGAACAGACACAAGCAAAGCCCCAAAGACATTGGAAAAGCTATATATACATATAGCTGCAGATGATAAACAGAAAAGGAGATCTGAGAAAAACAATGACCATGAAAACTGAAAATCCCACCTTCCCAAGCTGCATAAATGGGGAATAATGAACAATCACAATAAATATTGCATGCGCATGTATATAAACATAAAATAAAAGTGAGATAAATAAATAATAAAGGAGTATATATTTTGCCATGCATAAATTAAAAACACACTTATTAGCTGTAGTAAAAAGCTGATGGAAGAGGAAGACAACTACCCTTTCTTTAATTTCTCTAACTCTGTGCAGGCGGAACAAACCCTAAACTGCTTCTGCCACTACTATACGATTTCCCTCTTCTCTTCTGTATTTGTATAGGGCTGTCCAAATATTAGGGACTTTTAATTCACTTCAGGGTTTTAGGTGGGCCTGATACGGTGGGTCGCGGTGCACGGGATGATGGTATGTATCCTATTGTACGGAGTATAATGAAACAACGGATTGATTGAAAAGGACAACTGGGAGGTTAAGGACGTCAAAGGTCACGTGACATTCCTTGGTCCCGCAGAAGACGTGCGCAGGTAGGCGCGTGTATTGAGCAGTGCGTCCTCCCTTGCTCTCCTATCATCATTAATTGAAGCCTTGGGTTCATTTATTACACTAATTATCATTAATGTCCCTATATTCTCGCATTCATCGAGGATTTACGTGGTAATAAATGGAATTATATTATTACTACGTATAAATAAACATAAATAAGGTTGTTTTTACTTGGACTGTAATTTTCTAGTCTGGTCTGGTCTGGTCTGATCTGGTCTGATCTGGTCTGGTCTGGTCTGGTCTGAACTGGTCTGGTCTGGTTTCTTTGTATTTTTATAACTATCCAAGTCTGGTCAGGTCTGGTCTGGTTTGGTCTAATCTGGTCTGGTCTGGTCTTGAACCAATTACAGTCGAAGTAAAAACATCCTAATAATAACATGACTTTTACTAGTAATAAATTATTACTCCGTCCGTCATGTAAAGAACTTTCGCTTTCCTTTTTTAGCAATCCCAAAAAGAAGTTCCCATTTTCCTAAATGGGAAGTTATCTACATCAAAACAATGCCAAAAAGTGCAAAACAGTGTTAAACAGTGGCAAACAGTGTTGAAACAATGTCAAAACAGTAAAATTTACCCTCTACTAAGTTTATTTCCTTAATATGTGCGTAGGTCAAACCGGGAAGTTCTTTGCGGGACGGAAGGAGTATTATGTTTAAGAATAGCACTCCGTCCTTAAAAAACATTTAATTTCTTTTTTATATGTCCTTAATTAAATTCTTCATTCGATAGTCGACCTCAAAATTTGTTGGGATTAAATCTTGGATGTTGTTGTTGTCATTTGATAAATAAATTTCTATCAAATTACTCTATTCTCTTAAATAACAATATATTGTTAAACAATGTTAAATAGTATTTCGTATTAAACATTGTCAAATAGTGCCAAAAATATGTAATTTCGAGAATATTTCGAGAATTCAGTTACCTTACATTTCACTACAGTAGAGTGTACATTAGTAGTAGTATGATGGAAAAGTATAACAAGAATGATGGTGCACAAGTTAAAGCCCACTGTGTACATTCGAAAATCTCAATCCCTCCCTGTTTGATAGAGAAGAGAAGCTAGATTTTCATGTTAAAGGATTAAGGGAGAGTAAAATATGTTGGGGGTAATGTTTTTAATTCTTTTTACATATGTTTATGAAGTCTTTTAACAAATTATAGAAATAAATCAAGGTGGGTTTAAACAAATATAAAATCAATATCAAAACTGGTCCGGAATATACATATAAAACGCATTTTTCATGCAAAAATCATTTGACGATCTTCCCGATTGATTTTTTCTCAAATTTGGTATGAATGAACTAGACTTGATGAGGAACATACACAAAAAATATCAGCCAAAAATGTCACGCCCCGGACCGCATCCGAGCCACGTAGACAACCGCCGTACAACCCGATAAGAACAACATTGGTTCATCTTATTCAATCATACAAGGCGTTCGATAGATTCTATTGCCAAACCGATTAGTAAACACATACAATCAACATCAATATCATAATCAAACAAATGCGGAAAATATAATATGTTTGATGATTAGCCACACATGGAAAACACGAGCACGCAGGCTCCCAACTATTTTTAGAAGAAAACGTTGTCCAAATATCCATGAGCAGTTTATAAATTTCAAATACGAATGGAAGCACGAACCACGTCTTCCTCCTTGATCAATCACCCTAGGCAAAGGTGCAGGTAGTAGGACTCTAGCCTTAACCTGAAAAATGTGAGGGCCCCCGAAGGGGTCAGTACTTCATAGAAGTACTAGTGACAAGCAGACTATATGAAGAATAACGAATGTTTCAGACACGAGACCCAAAAATAGGGCGATACACACACACACACACACACACACACACATATATATATATATATATATATATATATATATGTGTGTGTGTGTGTGTGTGTGTGTGTGTGTGTGACTCATCCACCCGATGATACATAGTGTATATATATTTGTAAAATACTCAACCCGTAGGTCATTTCATTTAAAGAGTCTTTTAGAGATAAAGTTCTTACCTGACTTTTCTCACTCCTTCCCCGAATGCCTAGCTCACAAGCTACATTCTACATTCATAATATCCTACCGAGTTTTGGGAGCATTTAGCATCCCGGGGATGCTCAACCCCAATCGAGTTTCAGGATCATTCACCGTCCCGGGGATACTCAACCCCAACCGAGTTTTAGGATCATTTACAGTCCCGGGGATACTCAACCCCAACCGAGTTTCAGGATCATTTACAGTCCTGGGGATACTCAACCCCAACCGAGTTTCAGGATCATTTACAGTCCCGGGGATGCTCAACCCAACCGAGTTTCAGGATCATTTACGGTCCCGAGGATGCTCAACCCCAAACTTATTCCTTACCAAACCGTAAACTGGATATGGCTAGCCTTTCATTCCTTTAACTATGGACAATTCCTATCCCTATAGTCGTATAACCATCCTTAGGAACCAACGTGGGCGGGTCCCACCTGAACGACCCACATTAACCTACTCAAAACTGCCCGTTTTGAGCATAACCCAATACTCGATCGAGTACCCACCTATACTCGGTCGAGTATAGGAGACAGTAGCCCGTAAGGCCAATTTTTGGTGTATACTCGATCGAGTACCTACCCATACTCGATCGGGTATAGAAGACAGTAGCCCCTGGGGCAAGTTTTCAGCAAATACCCGGTCGGGTATTTGCTAATACCCGGTCGGGTATAGCAGTTGACTTGGCGGTCAACGCCCGTTTGACCGTCCAAACGGAGTCCGATTAACGTGAAATTTTACGTGCAAGTACTCTTTGACGTCCTTAATCCAAAAATACCTGTTTGGGTCCTTGGAACATCATACATATCAATTTATGGTAATTTCACCAATCAAACCTATAAATCATGCTTTCTAACTATGTTATATTCTTTAACATAGCATAACACATACTTTAATACCATTAATCAATCCAAAAAACATATTCTTCATTAATTTAGGTAATATCATGCCTCACACAAAAGTTATAAAGCATAAAGCCATCTTCTCACCTTAAATGAAGCTTATGAAGTTCTAGCCTCCTTTAATGAGCTCCGGCGAAACTCCGGCGAACTTCAACAAACTCCGGCGACAACTCTGGCATCCCTTTCAACTACGTGAAAATTCCTTGAATACCTTATAAAAGTTACTAACAAGGTTTTATCATCATAAATCCCATATTGATACAAATAACCTCCAAAAGGTTATTTTCCGGTGAACCGGTCACTTTGGCTTCTAAGTCCGTTCTTGGACCTAGAACTACCTTCCAACCCCTCATTCTACACTTCCAAACGTGTAGAATAATCCTAGGGTGTGAACTATGATTGTATAATCATATAAAATGATCTAAGAACAAGAAACGAGATTAATGGAGTCAGTACCTTGTAAATCTCAAGTTTTCCTTCCTAACTTCCCCTTTTCTCTTCTCTTTTCCCTTCCTTCTTCCTCCCCTTGCTTTGTGCGAAAATAGTGGATGAAAATGGAGTTTTAGCAGAGCTTCTCTCCCTTTGATTGAGGTCTGGGTCGAGTGGATGAGGTGTGGAGGGTGAGGGTGGTTTCTTCTTTTGGCTCATTCATAATAATATGGGAGGAGGGTCCCTTTCCCTTCTCATCTTGTCTCTCAATTACTTCGAGCCTCAATCAGCAGCATTAGGTGCGGCTCCCTTGGTATCCTCATGCCTAAAAACGTGGGTTGGCCACCACTTATGTGGGAGGTCAACCCTTTGTGTCCCCGAGTGTACAATCGGTCCCGAAAGTTGTATTTCCGGACTGTTTTAATTTTATTTTATCTTATCGGGTCAAATAAAATATCGCACATGCTCTCCATCATTATTAGACTTTATAATGAATATATATTCCTCAACTTTAATTTAGAACTCTCCGAAATTCCTTTTCGGGCCGTTATCTGATAAATTGCCGACACTGATAATTTGGCCCCGTTTGACCAACCGGTCTGCCCTATGCCATTGCCATGGCCCAATTAGGATATCCACCACAATAATAAGCATGAAGGGATTGACAACTCTTTCAAAGAAGGAATCCATTTCCATTGACAAAGGTGTTGCCCTAGATCCATGCGAGCACTGTCTATTTGGGAAACAACACAGAGTTTCCTTCAGTTCTTCCAGGGAGAACCATTCAGAGTTACTGAGTCTTGTCAACTCTGATGTATGTGGACCCATTGAAGAGGATTCACTTGGAGGAAGCGGATATTTCGTGACTTTCATTGATGATGCATCACGAAAGACATGTGCTTACTGTTTAAAGAATAAAGATCAAGTGTTTGATCGTTTCAAACTATTTCATGCCATGGTAGAAAGAGAAACAAGGAAGAAGTTGAAGTGTCTACGTTCAGACAATGGAGGAGAGTACACTTCCTGGGAATTCTCAGCATATTACGCTGCATAAGGAATCAAACATGAGAAGACAGGTCCACAAACTCCACAACACAATGGTGTAGCCGAAAGAATGAACATAACCATTGTGGAGAAAGTTCGTTGCATGTTGAGTATGTCTAAACTACCCAAGCCATTCTGGGGTGAATCTGTGCTGACAGCTTGTTATCTTATAAATAGATCACCTTCTGCTCCTTTAAACTTTGAAGTTCCAGAGAAGAAATGGCCAGGAAGAGATGTTTCTTACTCTCACTTGAAAGTGTTCGGGTGCAAGGCATTTTCACACATGTCCAAGGAGTTGAGACATAAGTTTGATCTCAAGTCAAACTCATGCATCTTCATCGGTTATGGAGATGAAGAATTT